GACCACATGACTTTTTTCTAATGCTCGACTGTCCAATCCTTGTGTTCCTGTGTGAATTGGAGATGTTTTATCTTGGTAACTGCAGTCAGCAAAGGTGTTCGAACAGGCCTTCGGCTTCCATATCCCATACAATGCAGTGTACGGCTAATTTGCCTACAAACATCAGGTAGTCATAATAATCTGCCCACTCATGTTCAAGTATAACCCACGTTCAAAGGCTGTTAAATTGCGTTGTTTACCCATATCTTCAGAGATAAATCACTTCTGTCGTGGTAAACAACCTGCTTCCCTATTTATAATGGTCTGGCCCTCTAGCAACTTCAGCGCGAAATTATAGCTAATTTGCCTACAAACGTCAGGTGGTCATAATAATCGGGCCACTCAGTGTATATAGAACATGGTAACAGGGCAAATGTGATGACTGTTAACAGTTGGGGAATCTGGGTAAAGGGTATAAAGGAATTTGTACTCTTCTTGCAATCTTTCCATAAGTGTGAGATTTTGTCAAAAAATGAAGTTTAAAAACTCAGAAGCCTCCGGCTCATGGTGCTGCAGCCAGTCTAGCATCAGGGCCTCGGTGGGGCTTCTCAGTGCCCGCCCTTCCGGTGGTCGGTTCTGAAGTCATTTCCCACAACCCGAGCTCTCTCCAGAACAGGCTCTGCTTCCTCTGGCAGCGGCAGAAAGCAGGGTGGGCAACCACTGACAGTGTGGCTTCAGCTGCCGGGAAGGTTTCTTTCTTCAGCTGCCTGTGGCGGCGGTGGCTGCTGTTCAAGACCACTCCTGCTGATTGTCCTCAGGTATCTGGTCAACCATCTCTGAGCCACACATTGACCGGGTTTAGACGAGGCCTACAACTGTCCTGTGAAAGTGGCTTCCCAGGCAGAATGTGACTTTGAAAATACATTTAGTTGCAGCTGAGGGTGCTCTTGCATGAATTCAGTGTAGTTCACCAGTGTCAAGGTAAGGAGCGTCCAGACCTGTAGAGAATTTTTATGAGTTTACTTGAGCCAAACTGACAGTGCATGCCAGGAAGCAAGATCTCAAATGCTCTGGAGAATAACAGTTTTGCAGCTTCTTTTATGCATTTGAAATTAAGGAGGAAACGTAAGGACACTTGGAGAAAGCAAGGCAGGGATTGGATTATAGGATAGTTAACAAAATTATATGCTCTCTTGAGGGTTAACACCCCCTTAACGGGTTAATACTTTCGATATTTCTAAGGTGTGTTAACCTAGACGCACAGGAACAATGGCTGGGTTGGCTTGAAACCTTTCGTTGAAGAACTTTCAGACCTGGGGTGTGACTAACCACCATGACCTGCCCAGTGAGGAATTTATGATCAGATCACCTTTGAGATTACTTTCGAAAGAACCCCTTTTATTCGTCCACACCAAGGTGCTTTGGAAGAGCCCTTGCCAGCAAATACGGCCCAGGGTCTCAGAGGGTGCGTTTTACCCAGAGCTTGGCATTGGCCAGTTGAAGATGGCCCCTCTCCTACCTGACAGAACCTCATATTGTATGTTTTGGTAGAAATCCTGCAGGTACTATGTTCTGCATGGGAGGCAGGGGGTGGGGGTGGGGGGTGTCCCTTTCCAGCTTCCAGTTCATTTTTATCCAGGTGAGGGCAACCTTCTGTGCTCTGGCTGAAATCTCTCCTATGGGGTCGGGGTGGCAGGGACAGTTCTTGGAGTCAGGAGGGTAGCTGTAAGCTGGGGGCTGAGGTTGGTTGTGGGTGGGTCTGCTTATCTGAATTTGCAAAGATGAGTTCCTCTGAACTTGTCACCGCAGGGAACAGAATATGGTAAGAACGGTGGCAAAGTTTCTGTTCCTCCTTTCTCTTTCCCTTCCAGCTCTTCTTGCCCAGAAAGTCCTGTCCTTCACATCCTGCCCCTCCATTCTCTCCTCTCTTGTGTCTTCCCTTTTATCGTTTCAAATCTATCTTCTCCTTATTCCAGCTTCCTGTTTCTGACTCCTAAATGACCAGAAAGTGTTAGCATAAGCTAAGTTTTGTGTTTCCTGTTCTTTGAAAAGTAGGTAGGTGAGACTCGATTTTAGTGGAGGAAGGGGCAATAAAAGTGTTCTCACCCAACCCTGCTCTTTACATATTAGCAAACATCCTCAGAGGTGACTTGGCCCTGGTCAAATAGCCAACAGCGGGACAGTTGAGTATTTTACCTCTTTCCTCTTTCTCTCTCTCTTTTTTTTTTTTTCATTCAATAGAGACCTACCTACCTTTATTTATTTATTTATTTGTTTGTCGGAGGTTTTTTTTTTTTTCATTTTTCCCCCCTTTATTGATTAAGATATTACAGATGTATCCTTATCCCCCCAATGTCCCCTCATCCCCCAATCCTGCCCTCCCCCTCACCCCCTGTTGTCCACATCCATCGCTTACGCCCTGGATGGGTAGGTCACTTGATTAGAGCGTCATCCTGATTTGCTGAGGTTGTGGGTTCCATCGAGGTTGTGGGTTCCATTTCTGGTCCAGGTGAGGAAACCGAAGGAAGCTAGGGAGACAGGGTTGGGGCCATGGGAGGTGGAAGTAGAACCAGGGAACTCAGCTGGTGGAAGTTACTAAGGCAACCCATCTGGGCGGGGAAAGAAGGTGTGCCTGGGAGCTGTGAACTTTAAAAATGTATGAGTGTTGCTAACACAAGCAGCTTGCAGCTAACCAAGCACAAGGCAGTGAGGCGTGATGTTATTAAGGCAGAATTCTTGGAAAGAACCAATCAAAGGCTAGCAAGCATATATACAAAAAAGCGCATGCTTTCTCTCCCCAGTGTGCTAGGTTCCAGGCTCCCCTGTGCCCACATGGCTGATGGCCCTGTGGGACTCTACACATGGACTAATACGCTTTAATCCACTTGGATGCTGAACTACACTCTACTGTAACATGGAAGCTCTGGACGCTGGGTGCCCCTGGAACCCCAGCCGCACCTTTTCCAGGATTGGCTTCTATCAATAAACTTTGCTCCCGCTAACCATTTTTGTCCTCAAATCCATTCTTCGGTTTTTCAAGACAACAAATTCTGACTCAAAACACCCCACATTTTGGTTTCAAGAGCACCTACTGTTGCAGATAAGCTGCCAGGCAGCGTGGGAGAATTAAGTCAGCCGGGCACTCAGAGAAGATTCAGCAAAGTTGCCTTTATTGCAGACTGTGCTAGTGCCGTGACTCAGGGGAGTCAGTCTCCAAATCCTGGGTGATGGATATGCACGAAGCTTTCCCTTTATACTCTTAGTTCCTTTGTCCCCAAAATATGGATCAGGCTTCTGGATCCTTTGTGAGCTTTGCAGTCCCCCAAGTGAGACCACACCCAGAGGCTTGCCAGCACTGGCACCGGGCCCCTCCGGGGACTGTATATGGTTCATGGTTTATGGCCTCTGTAAGATGGGAGTATTCCAGGAAACAGGTTCTGCAGGGCAGGACAGGCATCACAGATAAGAAGGGAATTTGATAAGAATGGAGTTTATTGGCAGGCAAGGGTGTACGTCAGAAGGCAGGTTACTGGCACAGATTCAGATGGCTAGCCCACCAAATGTCTTATTTTCCCCTTCAATACAAGGAGTAATCAATGAATACATAAATAAATGAAACAACAAATCAGTGTTTCTCTCTCCCTCCTCCCTCCCTCCCTTCCTCTCTCTTTCTAAATCAATAAATTGGAAAAAAGAAAAGAAAATAACAATGGATCCAGTTGTTCTGTTGCGCCCCCTCCTACCCCCATGGTGGTGGGAGGGACAGTCATTTGATTTCATTTATCTCCTTCCTCAACATACACACAGTGATTCTTGTTTGAAAAAGGATCCATATCCATATCCACATCTCCATGTGCTGGGCATACTGTAGACACTCCATACACACCCAGTAGTTGTGATATCTGCACCCCTAGAAAGGTTCTGTCTTCACGTCTGCCTCTTGTTAGGACCATACTGAATTTGGATTAGCTTTTGTGTGGGGATCTAGGTGCAGGCCACTGGGCAGTGCATCCATTCATTTAGTCATTCTTCAGTTCATTCCTTCAACAAGTATTTCTTAAGTGCTTTTTACGTGGTAGGCGCTGTTCTAGGTCCCTTCTCTAGGAATTTTCTAGTGGGGAGAACAGACAGTAGGCAGATATGTATGAGTAGCAGTGAGTGCTCAGAAGTAAACAAGGGACGTGAATAACAGGGCTTGGGGGGTGGGGATGCTGTTTTACAGAGGGTGGTCAAGGAAGGTGACTTCAACAAAGACCAAAATAAAAATGCTGAGGGAGGCAGAGGAAACAGGTGGAGGCCTGAGATGGAGAAGGGGGGATATTGGTGTGAGGAGCAGTAGGAAGCCTGCTAGGCTGAAGTGGAGTGAAGAGGAAGAGAGTGTAAGAAAGGTGGGGAGGGGAGATGGCTCTGGATTTGACCCTGCAAGGGTTGCTGCCATCTTAACATCTTTGCCACTTCAGTGAAATCTTAGCAATACCGTCTGTAGTTCTGGGCGTGATCTCATTTTGGAGAATGTATTTTATTCTGAGAACTCAGGATTAATTGTCTTCACACTTAAAAAAAAGATTTTAGAGAGGGAGGAAGGGAGAGAGAAACATCGATGTGAGAGAGATACATCTATCAGTTGCTTCTTGTACATACCCCGACCAGGTATCAAACTCGTGACCTTCTGCTACACGGGATGACACTCCCACCAACTGAGCCACACGGGTCAGGGTGCCTTAACACTTTCAAACATGTAAAAAAGCAGGCAGCTGAATGTTAGTAATGATGTATTCTCAACATTAGAGGAATACTGGTTGATTAGAAGTAAATTGAACAGCATACCTCAGAATCATTGAAGTGCTTGCATCTTGGTTGGTGGCCAAAATTAGTGGAATGTAGACTGTGCCTTCACAGAGCAACACTCTTATTTTTAGTTGCAGGAAACAGGTCCTCATAATGTTGCCTGGTATGTAGGATCTGAAAGTCGTTAGGCTAAAATCTGTTGTAAGTACAGCTGTGAGAAGCTGGCTGGAGAGCAGAGTTACTCAAAGGGCTGCACCCACATAACCCTGGGGAAACTAGCTTACATTGCTCATTCGTGTCCTTACCTGAAATTCTGAGGATGAGAAGATTCTGAGGATGAGGTCTAGGAATCTGAATACATCACAGCCTCCTCCAGTGGTTCTTGTGTGTGGTCAGACTGGAGGATCACTGACTGAGACCGCTGTGGAGGTATTGGTGCGTGAATAAGTACTATAAGGTACCAGAACTGACTGGGTGTGGTCTCAGCCAGTTCTCTGGCCAGCACTTGATATCATGGGTGAAATCCCACAATCTTAAAAGACGAGTGAAACAGGGGCAACAGGGAGAAATAGTGCCCCACTCCCCCGTAGGTGGTGGAAGTGGAAGGGGATAAAGGGGCTCTGCTTGAGTTGCATGGATCCAGGAACGTTGTCCTTCCACCCCCTGCACACCTGTGAACTCTCCCTGCCAGGTGGCGTGTGAATGCAGGCCTGTGCGTGTCTGTTGGCTTCTGATTAGGTAGATACTGAAGCTCAGGTATCACACGTTTTAACCCACAGTCTTTGGTTTTCAATTTTTGCATTAAGTTTAATTACCTTTGGTAACCTGTAAGCAGAAGGCCAAAATGAGAGGCAACAAGCGTTGATTGAGATCCATAGGAATAGCTACTCACTCCCGAAGTGCTGATTCAGGCAGAAACCCAAATAGTGTTTTGATTAGGTGACTGGCCAGAGGTATTTATGAGAAAGAGAAGGGGAATAATTAAAGAATAGAAAGAAGGGATTTCTGTAGGTGTAGATTAGCTAGCATAGTGATGCTAATTCTAAAGAATGTCTTTTATCTTCAGTCCCTTAGTCAAAACAGTAGTTTGGAATACCGTGCTGCTTTAGGCCCAGTCCGAAGGTTATTTTGCCCAGTTTTAACATTCTAAGGTTTGAGGCAGTTTCTCTGGGATGGCAGCTCTGACTCCATTTTTAAAGTGGCTCTGTTTTTGTTATTTTTTACACTTTCAATACTTTAAAAATATGGCAATGTTGGGATTTTAATATATATACAACTAGAGGTTCAGTGCATGAAATTCATGCACAGGTAGGGTCCCTGTGGCGATCAGGGATGATTGGGGCCTTCCGGCTGCTGGCTGGGGCCTTCTTCGTCCCCCTGGTTGTCAGCACACATCATAGTGATCTATCGAACTCCCAGTCTCCTGGTCGAACTCCCAAGGGGACACTTTGTATATTAGCCTTTTATATATATAGATGACTTTATCCCAGTGGGTCAAGTCAGGGTGATTTTTCCCCCTAGGGGACATTTGTCAATATCTGGAAACATTTTTGGTTGTCACAACTGGGAGAGATGGGGAGGACCAGAGATTCTAGTGGTATGTTGTGGATAGAGGTCAGGGATGTTGCTAAACATCCTATAATGCACAGATAACCTCCTACAACAGTGATGGTGAACCTATGACACGCGTGTCAGAGGTGACACATGAACTCATTTTTTTGGTTGATTTTTCTTTGTTAAATGGCATTTAAATATATAAAATAAATATCAAAAATATAAGTCTTTGTTTTACTATGGTTGCAAATATCAAAAAATTTCTATATGTGACACGGCACCAGAGTTAAGTTAGGGTTTTTCAAAATGCTGACAGGCCGAGCTCAAAAGGTTCGCCATCACTGTCCTACAACAAAGAGTTACCCAGTCACTGTTTTCTCAACTTCACATTTTTGTTTCTTTTTTTTTAAATTTTTTTTATTGCTTAAAGTATTACAAAGGGTATTACATATGTGTCCTTTTTTTCCCCGCCCTTGACAATCCCCTGGCCTCCCCTACCCCCCAGTGTCTTATGTCCATTGGTTATGCTTATATGCATGACATTTTTGTTTCTAATGATCTGTTCCTTGGCATACCTTCATTATTAAAAGCAAAACAAACAAAAAAAAACCCTTCACATATATGTATATCCACCTGTTCTAAGACCTACCTTTCCTAAGCACCCACAGGTGGAAGGGCGTGGCCCTGGAGGTGGATGGCTGTGGGTTGGAATTCTCAGCTCCTTAGTCATGTGTGGCCTTTGGCAAGTTAAAGGCAGCTAGCAAGCCAATGAAGTAATTGTTTTTAAGGCTTAGTGATACCGTGTGTAGGCTTATTCCTTCCCCCAAATGTAATGCTTGCCTACACACTAGTAAAGGTGTGTACAGTAAATTTGGCAATTCATCATGAACTACTTTGTGGTGTCTACTCTACTCTTGCCTTGAATGGTTAATTCTTTTTTTGTGTGTTAAAATATATTATTGATTTCAGAGAGAAAGGGAGAAGGAGTGAGAAATAGAAATGTCAGTGATGAGAATCATTGATTGGCTGCCTCCTGCACACCCCTCCCCGACACTGGGAATTGAGCCCACAACCCAGGCATGTACTCTGACCAGAATCGAACCTCCTGGTTCATAGGTTGATAATCAACCACTGAGCCACGCTGGTCGGGCCTTGAATAGCTAATTCTTAATTTTGAAAATGTTAGTGCTAGTGCTGCACATGGACTGGAAGCTGGGGCCTTGCCCTTACCGTTCTTCATCGGGGCCTTGATAAGAATTGTCTTCTTCAGGCATGCAAGCATCTAAGAAGAATCGGTTACATTTTTATGTGCAAGTGGAAATATGTAATCCTGAACCCCAGGTCTCTTCTGCATAAAAGATGGTTAGTGAAGCAATGGTGTGGAGGCTCTCACCCTGGCAGGCTGAGTGGAGGAGGCTCAAATGTATGATTCCTGAGATGCTAGCTTGGTGCAGCCAGGCTTTAGGGACTACGGCATATTCCATATGGTTTGTACCATAATTTACTTTCTTGCTGGGTATTTTAGATGTTTCAGTAGAGCACATGCTTTATTCTCTGCTATTATAATTTCCCTTAACATTCAATTTCAGTTGTAATCTTAAATATAATTGAGAAAATACACTTTGGGGACTGGGGGTGGGGAGGGTATATCCTATCTGATGTCAGGCCATAGGCGTGCAATACCCATTCCATTCAATGTGGGATGTTTCTTAAGGGTCTGATATGTGCCACACCCCATCCTAGACGTTGGAGATCCAAAGACGAACAACGTTCTGGCCCGGCAGCTCAGCCACCAGGTGCTGGTGGAAAAATAGAGGAGACCTAAAACGTTAACAGAAAATCCAGTTCACTGTGGTGCACAGATAGCGACTGCCCGGCGACAGCTGTGGTATTGAAAAATGGACTTCACAGAGGAGAGTGTTTAAGGATGAAAAGTAGTTCGCCAGGCAGATTGTTGCAGGGATGCCCGCTGGGGTTGCAGATCGTGTGCAAAGGCACTGAGGCCATACTCGGGCACGTGCAGGATTCCAACAGTACTTTGTGGCTGGAGTGTGACAGACAAGTTTGTCACCTGGAGTCCTAGGACCTGAGATGAGCTGGAAACTACCAACCGGATAATATATTTCAAAAAGACAGCTTTGAGGGGACAACATTGAGATGGGGAGCGAGGTACGTGACCTCCACTAGGGGAATGTCAGTGGGCATGGGGAGTTCAAGAAGGTATGTTTGAGAGGCCCTGGGGATTAACTGGGGCTGGGGATGAAAGAGGGAAGGCTGGGGTTAGCCTGCAGGTTTTTGGCTTGGATGGCTGAGGGGAAGGTGGAGCTAGGGATAGAGGAAGATGCCAGGTGCTGGCTGATAATAGCATCTGAGATTAAGATAGTAGGCAGGGTGATAGATACACAGGTCTGAGCTGGGGTGAGGGCTCTGCATAGAGATATGGATTTGGGGGTGCACTCCCTGGAGCAGGAGCGTGAAAGGCAAATGATTAAATCTTTAGTGAATAGTGTGGGACAAAGAGAACATTGTGCTGAGGGTGGAACCGGGGCCCTGTAGTCATAAGATGTGCATGTGGGAGTCGGAGATTGTAGGTCGTGAAGGAAGTGTGGTCCCAGGCATCCCAGGCGTGGTGTGCAGACTGCATGAAGGAAGACAAGACTCAGGCCGTCAGCGTTGACACTGGGGAGAAGAGGCGGGTGACGGAAGCCAAATGTTTACCAAGGGGTTAGCGGGGGGGAGAGGCTACTGACCGAGACCTGACCTAGGCTGAGTGCATGAGCGGCTTGCGGAGGATGCTGCTGCAGAGACATCCAGGAAAGGAAATGGGACGACTGGAGAGAGGACTCTGCCATAGGGCTAGAGCCACGCCTGTGGCTAGCACTGAGGGTAGCTGCAGGACGGCAAGTGCCTTCAAGCCCTGTCAGATGCGTTGTCAAAAACACAGCTGGGCGCTGCCCGTAACTTCCCTTTCCGTACAATAATAATAGCAACAGCCACCACATAGGTAGCGCTGGTTATGTGCCACCACTGTTCCCCATAGTAAATCCTCTGAGGTAGGTAACGTTACACCCATTTCTCAGATGAGGAAACTGAGCTGCAAGAGTTAGCGCTTCCCAGCTGGTAGGTGGAGGAGCTGAGCCCAGGGGTCAGGCTATAGATGCTGCACTCGCCTGAGATCCTCTCCAGTGTGATCAGGAAAACAAAACAAGTCCCAAAACCCACAACCCACAAC